CAGCACACCTTTTCCCTCTCTACGATCTCCATGAGATAATTTCTGCAAGGGCAAAACTGCAGGATATATCAGGATGCTTCCTCAGTTCCATTAATTTCAGTAAAATTTCGGTTTGTTGAAATTGTTCCAAGTGACACTGCTGCTTTTAAAGGGCTCTGAAGTACAGTCCTGGAGCCACAGTCAATCAAGAACGTGCTTTAAATAATAACTCACTCAACTGAGGCCTTTTCCAGTGTAATGTATTCTGATGTACTGTGTTCAGGTTGGATACTCAAGAAAAGTTACATCATCTTAAGATCTGAAGTCAACACATGCAACATATGTTCAAATGCCGCGTGAATGTTTGTTAAAAAAAAAAAAAGTTATTTTAAGTTAATCCTTTTTGTGAATTTTTTGTGGAATCTGCATGAGACTTTAATATGCTTTGAGTGTATTTGATTTAGTTATTTAACTTTTAAGAGAAGACACAGAAAGAGGAGTGTACAAACACCTTTTTCCTTTGGTCCCCTTGGGCTTGTGCATACTTCCCATGTAACCATCATCAAATGGTGTGGTCTTCAGGCTGCCATAGAGATCTCCACACACAGTACAGCCAGGAGGCATTTTTTCACTGACCTTTCATTGCTAGTAAACATCTGAGCTCTCCTGGTAAAAGCTGAGTTTGCTGACCCACTCAATACAGATGAAGTGAGTAATGTTGTACTCAGATTTTGCTAATGCAAATGCTTTATTAGTCTGTCACCATGTAAAACTTGTGTTGCCAGAGAAATTTGAACCCTACTGTGTAATATCTAGGGATAAAGATTGTGGAACAGCTGTTAGAGCGAAGGGTTCATTCTCTGCTCTGAAGGGCAAATGTTGCATGCACAAAAGCCAGCTTCCTTTTTTTATATTTGGAAAGTTATGACCTCGTCCAAATAAACTTGCCCCTCCTGGTATTTACGGTTGTAAACCTTCTGCACTTTTGCTTCTCTGAGGGGGAGAGAGGTATAGCTGGGAGAAGGAAAAGCCAGAAATCAGAGTTTCTGTGATGAGCTGATGAACAGTCTGTGGGTCAATTTGAGGCATACTCTGGTGAGAGATGGAGGTAGGTGGCTACAGAGCTGAGCAACTACATTGATGTAACAAGGTGAGTGGAAAACAGTGTTGATAGTTAGGGAGTGTAGATTTAAAGATGATCAGCATTAGTATAACCCAAATTATCAGTGTTCACAGAATTGGATTAGTAAGCATAGGAAGAGCTAAAATAAAGCTATTGTTTGTCTGGTACGCTTTGTACAAGTCATGCAACCCGTTGAGAAGGTTCTAGTAATGACATGCTGCTCCCCCCCTTTTTTTCTTTTAACTTCCCATTTGAACTATATTCATAAATTTCGGTCAGGTGAAACCCCTGGTGTCCTAGGGCTGTGTCCAGAATTGCACAAACACTAAAGAGCTGGGTAACTGAACAGAGGGAGTAGCTTGGGCTGGAGTTGCTTCTGTTTTCAAAAGCCAGGATAAGCAGCATTTGTGTGGGTGGCTGGTGACTGTGACCATTAGAATCCTCTTAATCTGTACTTCTGTCTTCCTGAAGGCCACTGTGTGGAATCCCATTTCAGTTGTGACCTCCACACAAACAGTTTTGAGGTTGTTAGGCAAAAGATCATCATGTTGCACTGACCACAGTCAATGCATGTGACCCTGCGCACTGCGCCAGTCCCAGGCAGGCAGATGTCAGCTCCCCTGCCTGCGTGCTACCCTGTTTGCATGTTTACATTCCAGTGCCTGCAAAACGTGGATAAATATTCTGTGCTGCAATCACAAGTTAATCTGTATCTGTCGCAGTGATTACTTAAAAAAGTTTAGGTGGACTCAGTCTGCAGAGTTTTGGTCCCTCGCATCTTTTTGGCAGATCGCTAGCTTGATTTCTATGATGTGGCCATTTGGTTTCTAATTTACTTTCTGGAAATAGTAGTTGGTATGACTGAGGCTTCTCCGGCTCTGTGAAATTTGCTACAGCAGTGCTGCAAGTTGGTATTTTTTCAAGATACTTACATCTTTGCGAGGATTTTTAAATGGCTTGCAAGGTTACTGTTCATATCAGTGTGATCAGGCAGGTGAAAAGAACATGTGTTGAGGCCTTAGTCACCCCAGTTTGGCACATTTGTGTAACTCACTGATGAAAGCAGGTTTGTACTGAAGTATCTCATCCTGTGATCTAGAAAAACCTGTGTTCAGGGAAAAGGATGATGTCTGACAAAGGAATGGTAACAAATAGATAATGTGTCATAGCATCTTGAATAGCTGCTGTGGTTTGCCAAGACACTGACTTGGATTGGAAGTGTTACAGCTGCAATTTATACTTAGATGAGAATGTGTGAACTGAATAGAGTAGATTCATTATGGTCGTATCAAAGTAATGATCTCCTGCTTTATCTTTTGGGATATTCCAGCTGTTTCTCTGTCTTCAGTTACCCTCATACTTTCCCATGAGAAGTGGATATGCATAAAATAAAGTTCTCAGTTTGGAAGGCAGAAAATAAAGCTCATCAGGAGCATAGCTAGCAAGGGGGAGAAGGAAGCATTTTATTTGGTCATAATTGTAGAAGCAGACAGCTTCAGTTGTAGAAGCTGAGTAGTTCATGCTGTTTAAAGAAGATGACTCCTAAGACTTAGTGGGCTTGTGTGCAGGATGGGTATCAGCAAAGCTGGGAAAAGGAATCTCAGAAAATAATTTGTAGATGGGAGTGTGAGAGGTGCTATGTTTGAGAACAAGGATGTTTCACATGCTTGTGGCCTCCTCTGGACTCATTCTAACTGGTCCATGTCTCTCTTGTGTTGGGGGTTCCAGAACTGGACACAGGACTCCAGGTGGGGCCTTACGAGAGTGGAGTAGAGGGGGAGAATCACCTCCCTCGACCTGCTGGCCACGCTTCTCTTGATGCAGCCCAGGATACGGTTATTGGCCTTCTGGGCTGCAAGCGCACATTGCCAGATCATGTTCAGCTTCTCACTCACCACCACTCCCAAGTCCTTCTCTTTGGAGCTGTTCTGAAGCCACTCGTTGCCCAGCCCATATTTGTGCTTAGTATTGTCCCAGCCCAGGTGCAGGACCTTGCATTTGGCCGTGTTGAACTCCATGAGGTTTGCACAGACCCACCTCTCAAGCCTGTCAATGTCTCTCTGGATGGCATCCCGACCCTCCAGCGTCTCAACCGCACCACACAGCTTGGTGTTGTCGGCAAACTCGCTGAGGGTGCACTCAATCCCACTGTCCATGTCACTGACAAAGATGTTGAACAGCACCGGCCCCAATACCGAACCTTGAGGGACACCACTTGTCACCGTTTCCACTCAGACATTGAGCTGTTGACCACAACTCTTTGAGTGTGACCATCCAGCCAGTTCCTTATCCACCGAGTGGTCCATCATCAGACTCATGTGTTTCCAGTTTAGACACAAGGATGTCATGCAGGACGGTGTCAAATGCCTTGCACAAGTCCAGGTAGATGACATCAGTTGCTTTAGCCTTATCCACCAGTGTTGTGACCCTGTCATAAAAGGCCACCAGACTGGTCAGGCATGAGTTGTCCTCGGTGAAGCCATGCTGGTTCTTCTACAGTATCATGCTGCTTGACACCCTGGACCTTCTTTTGTCACCATTTCTGCTATCTCTCCATCTCAATCTAACCTCTAACTTGGTTGTTGTCTTCAAAATACATGAAATGTGATTTGTGCTGGAATACTTTAGAAATCCTCCATAAGTGTATTCCACATAATAGTATTGCCTGAACAGTGAGACGGACAGGTGGGATAAATTAATTCACTTTAGCCTTGCATCAGCTGTTTCTATCAGGTGCTGGCCTTTGTGGATCCCTTTGCACCAAACAGTCTCCAGAGCCTATAAAAGGGTGTGCATCTCATACCTTGGTTTTTGGGTTTTTTTTGTTTGAGAAACTGGGGCGAGGGAAGATAATGTGTTGTGAATGAAGACAGGAACAATGCTGTGGGAAAGCAACAACGGATCTGGAAATCAAGCCTGTGATTCTTTCTGTTTTTTGTTTTTTTTTTTAAAAAAAAAACCAACTTTAATCGTGACTGGGAATGTTGCCGGGCACTGGAAGAGAATTGTCCTTACTGTTAAATCGTTAGCTTGCTCCTTGGCAGGTATTGGCCTAAGCCAGTGCTCCCAAAAGAGCCCTGGAGAGAGTTCAAGTCTTAAGAGCGTCCTAGGAGCTTCCATTGCACAGTTTGCATGCAGTTAGCCTTGTCTGGAGATTAAGAGTTCCTAGAGTGAATGTAGGCCCCTCTATGTGAGTTGGCCCTGATATTGGGAACATCTCAGGGTACTTCAGCTTATATAAGTGAGCCCTAGAAGTCTGAATGGAATGCTCTTTCTGGTAAACGTTAAGATAGCCATAAAAAAGGAAAGATCTCAAACTAAAATGATGTTTATAATAACCTTTACTTCAATTTTTTTTTCTGGTGGTGAATCTAACTAATCTGAAATCAGGAGAGTTCCTTGTATCTCTCATAGTTAGGGTTTGTAATTTTAGCTTGTAACACTTTCTAGCTCAAGTAAAACTATTGCTTTTTCTGTTTTATTTGAATTGGTTTTAATTTTGAATGCAAATGACTGTCTGTTTAGCTTTAGACCAATGCCAGATAAGAAATGGGACCACATTGTTTGTGGATCACAGAGGCACAAACGGCTGTCTAGAAGCAGCATAAAGAGGAGAATAGTGCAGACATTGAGCTTCCTTTGTAAACAACGTGATGTATCCATGTTTTTCACAACGCTGTTATCTTCCTGCAGACCTTTAAGCTCTGAGGATGTGTAACAAGGAGATTTGTAGGGGAAAGGGCATGACTAACACAGGCTGTGCGGTACCTTTTTGTCTGGTACAGGCCTTGTATGTGGGACAGATACATTGTGGGACTGTGGGACTTGTACTTTGTATGCGGGACGGATGTTGTGAAAATGGCTTTGATTTTTCTTTTGTGTTTTAGGGACGTTAAGGGTCTTGAATAACCATGAGTAACCCTTTTGTACGGATTGTGGAGCCACTGGACCCTAAACAGCCTCTGAAAAAGTTCTTTAATCTGAGCAAGTTGGAAGATGTGAGATACGGTACGTTGAGAACATAAGGAAAGCATTTAGTTGGCATTGATGAACAGTACCTGAAGGGACATTGCAACATTGTATGGATCATATTTGGTCTCTGGAGAAAACTATGAATTCAAAAAGATGGTTCTTGAAAACAAAATTTTATCAAAATTGAATTCTGGAAATTTAGAACTGCAGAATCATAGAATGGTTTGAGTTGGAAGGGACCTTAAAGATCATCTAGTTCCAACCCCCCTGCCATAAGCAGGGACACCTTCCACTAGACCAGGTTGCTCAGAGCCTCGTCCAGCCTGGCCTTGAACACTTCCAGGGAGGGGGCATCCACAACTTCTCTGGGCAACCTGTGCCAGAAATACCAGTAAGATCACAGTATTTGTTCTCTGAATATGCTGTACATACAGCAGTCTTGTTTTTCTTGAGTGGATGAGGAGGACTAGGCAAAACTAAGAGCACAAGCTTTCTCATATACTGCTATGCTACTGTGGAAGGCTGGAAAGGACCTAATACTGGTATGACTGAATCATCCAGAAAGATTGTTCATCTTTACAAAGAGTAGTGGCTAGAAAGTCCTCTCTGAGGAGTCTTTTTCTTTAGTTCCTCTGACAATTCCTGAATATACTTGGGCATCTTCTGTGTGGCACTGGGAAAAATCTTACAATCTGTGCCACTGACTTGGAAAGCGAGTATCTATAGCTTATGGCTGTCTATGTTGAGTATTTTTTGTCTTTCAAAAAGGAAACAGGTGATTAAGGAGAATTCAGGAAGTAAGAGGAGGAACATTTTCTCTGAATGTCAGCAACCAATATCCATTGCAGGCTCAAATGGTGTGTAAATGAGAAATCAGTTAAAGTCAGACTTGGTGTGTGAAAAGTAAAGGTGAGTCCTGAGAAATAGACAAATACATGTATGGTATTACCAGTTGGTCCATTCCAGGATTCCAAGAGTGATAAACTCCAGATTCTTTGAAGAAAAAAGGATGCAATACTCACTATTTAGCAGAAAAAGGGAATAACATAGCAACAGAAGAATGAGATAGGGAAGGAGGAGGAAGGATTAAAAAACCCCCCAAAACAACAACAACAAAAAACCCAATCAAAAACCTAAAAAACCCCAAATGATTCTGAATGACTGTGTCCTGAACAATAGTTGTTTTTTTGTTTTTTTATGATAGCAGTAATGTGATTAAGTGACTTTTGTGTTTTGAGGGCCCTGTGTAAAAAGTTGGGACAAACTTCTCAAGCAATTTTTGAGTGTAAATATTCTGAGAGGAAGTCAAACAGCTTTTATGACAGTGGATCAGGGGAGGAAGGACAGAGAAACTTTTATTTCTTTCATCACACCCATTGCTTGTAGTAAAGCTGCCAGGACTGCTCTAATAATATTTTGTGTTATCTTTCTAAGTATTTCTGTCTTGAAGTAAAAGAAAATTAGCAGATGCACGATCTTACTGCAGTTCAGTTTCATTCTCCTTCCCTGGAGAAGAAGAGACTGCCTAGACCAGTAAAGCTATGCTTTCCAACATGTCAGCTAGAAAATTATGTTTTTCTCCTGCATTTATATGACTGTGTTCAGTGGCAAGAGTGAGAGGAAACTGCAGGGAAACAAGATGAGCACAGGATGTTTTCAGAGTGGTATTGCTATGGAGGATGGAAAAGATACGGAAACAAGTCCTTTCAGCAAAGATGTCTGCTGTCTCACAGGGACTGAGATAATAAAGCTGCTCAAAGAATTGAGTGGAACAGGCCAGATAGCACTGACCTCCTGACAAAGCTGGAAGTCTAGAAAAGGGTGTCTGATAATTTGGGATAAAGCCCTGTGAGAATACAGGGACAGCACCTGAGGACCCATCTGCCCCAGGTGTGGAATTCTGCATTTCCTGACACATGCCCTAAAGTAAAAACTGAATTTGTTTCTTTCCTCTTACCCATGCAGCACGCCTGCCGTTTTCTATTCGAGTCCTCTTGGAAGCAGCTGTCCGTAACTGTGATGAGTTCCTGGTGAAGAAGGGAGATGTTGAGAATATTCTCAACTGGAAAGTGGTGCAACACAAGAATGTTGAAGTGCCATTTAAGCCTGCAAGAGTTATTCTGCAAGACTTCACGTGAGTCTAATTCTCTCCAAATCTAGGAAGAGGGGCTCTTGAAAGTGCAGCAATGCTCACCATGGGGTGGAGGGGTGAGCTGAGGGAAAGAATAGCAGTGAAATGTTTGGAAAGACCTTTTTCAGCTTTACTGGAGATCATGCTACAGACAACAGTTGAAGAGACAAGCACTCAGAATAAAAGCATTAAATGCAGTGCTTCTGGGATGAAGAAGTAAATATCTTTATGAAACTCTTCAGAACAGAGGGGAAGAAAATGGGATGGATAAATTGCATCCAAATGAGGGAATTTGGAGTTCAGAGGTTTTGTTGTTACTGTCTGGGGCTGTGTGTGGTGGTGTCTCCTCCCCCCACCCCCTGCAGGGCTCTTGCTTTCAGTTTTCTCTGCTTTTGAATTCTAATTTATAACCCACATCATTATTTTCTCTTCCTAGTCAATATTATTCCAAATATATTTTTAAAGACTTCTCAGCTATTAAAAAAATGAATGTCTGCTTTTTCCCAGAAATGTGAATTGAGATTCCTACCTAATGGACTCTGAAAATTTGGCCTTGTTATAGTAGCGTGGTTAGTCCGCATGTGTCAGCATGTAACAGTCCCTGATAGATGTGGAAAGTCAGTTTTCAGGTGGAACAGTAGCTTCTAATTGTTTTTAATACAGCATTTTACTTGCAAGTCCACTGCCCTTTGTACCTTTCTCCTCTGCCTTGGTAAGAGAGTGTACTTCATCCATGGTAAACCCCATGCTGCTAAGCTATCAGTTGCTTTTTTTTCTCAGAACAGTAAAGTGTCGTAGCTGTCATACCTTCTGTTTTGTGTTTTCCCAAAGGTTGACCGGTTGCTAGAGACCCAGTACAGCTCAGCTCCTAAGGATGTTAGGAAAATCAGCAAAGTCTCAACTGAAAAAAGTGCGGATTTCCTAGCTGATTTTTGCCCACTTACTGTTGTTAACATTTTAAACAGCTGGAGCACAGAGGAAGCCAAACTTTCAAGCGAATGTTGTGCCCTTTGTTACTGCATGTTTTTTAAACAGATTGGAGAGGAGAGAGAAGAACAGAGCAGAGGAACAATTCAAGGTCCCAAAGAAGTGGCGATTAGGACTAAGCTTCCAGATTCCCAACCAAGCATGTGAAACTGCTTCTGCTACTTGAAGAATTTTGGTTTTAGCTTTTCTTTCTTACAATGCTGAGGACTTTGATACAGTTCTGTCCTTTTTGCTCTTCTGACTTTGTCTTCCCAAGGGTACTGTCTCTGCTATAGAGTAATGATCCCAAGACTCGGGGTAGGGCTTCAGTTTGCTTTCTATGAGACAGTAAGTGTCTGTTCTGCATCTTGGGATCTCGATTGTGTGTGTTTTGTTGTTATTTTCTTTTCCAAATTGCTTCACCTTGCTTATTTCTCTTCTGTTTTAGTGGGGTGCCTGCTGTGGTTGACTTTGCTGCAATGCGTGATGCTGTGAAGAAACTTGGTGGGGACCCTGAAAAAATCAATCCTATCTGTCCTGCAGATCTAGTGATAGATCACTCCATCCAGGTTGATTTTAACAGGAGGTAAGGATACAAAATAACTCTCGCTTCTTAGTAGTAGTAAGTAAGCTGCATCCAACTACTGATAGCAAAGGTAGTTCAATTGGTGATATTCTTAGCATTTGGACTATAACATCCTAGACTCTAAGAGGTCTTTAAGTTAGTATGTTGTATCACTTGCTGTGAATTAGATGGGGGAATTTTATTTTTTCTGTGATGCATCTCTCGGCAGCACAATCCTGGACTAACTGTTAATAGAAACAGGCTCAGTCCAGACCTGTGGTGATCATGATTTTCCATAATAATACAGCATTACTATTAGTTGCTCAGAAATAGCTTTTTTCCACATGTACTTTTTTTGACCCTGCAGGGTTTTTTTGGAAAGGACGAGTGAAAATGTATCCTTTCTTCCTTATTTATATAAGAATAGACCAGAGCTGCCCTAGCCTAGCTCTGAGCAACTGTTTGCTAGTTCAGTGCCTCCACGTAGAAGAGTGCAAGACACTAATTAGTATAAGTACAGGAAAGAAACATAATGGTATTCAATCCTCAGCATGCTACAAAGAGACGAGCGCTCACTAGACCCATAGCGAGATACAGGACCTGTGCACAGAGGTTCTTCTACCCTCCGTGATATCTAAACATGGGCCTACTGATCTACTCTTTCAAACAGATCCTGTAATTACATGTTTCTTGGTGGTTTCTGTCCATCTTCCAATCTCCTGAAGCTTTTTGGACTGCAGTTTCTTTGCCTGCTAAAATACTCTGTGTATTTATTGTCATCTATAGGAGATAATTTTGAAGCAGGCCACTTAAATTATAGCATTGCAAAGAAGAAAATTCCTAGAAGGTGGAGATTAAAGAGCATAAAGAGCACTTTCTCAATGCCAATATTTAGAGGTTCTTTAGAATAAAAATACTGAACTTCTGAGCATAAATGTATTCTGAAGCCTCCTTCATAGAAGAATGTTGCCAGAGAGTTTTCAAATATAACTTTTTTCCTACTTTTTAAAAAATGTAGACTAGTAAGGATTCAAATTCTCACTGATTCCATTTTGTAGTTGGCAGGTGAGAAAAAGGGCCAAAAATTTTTTACTTATCTATCTGTATTATTTTTTAGCTAGAACAGAGCTGGGTTTCTTTTCAGTAGCTGGAATTGTGCTGCGTTTTGCTTTCAGATTGGGATTAGTTACGAGAGAGACACTGAGAACATACCAGTGTTTGCATTTTTGTCACTGGAAGTGAAGGACTTTGTGTTCTGTTCATCCACAAGCGCAAGATTTAAGGGGGTGAGGAATATTTAAATTAATAAACTTAATTGACAGTTAGATATGCCAATGGGCTATTCCATATCATATCACATCATGTCCAGTACATTAGTGAGGGTTTCTTCCTCTCTTGCGCTCTCTGGCTTTCACTTGGGCTCTCGCTCTCCCGGGATTGCGGTTTCGGTTCGGGATTGTCGCTCCTCCGGGATCGTTATCTGGGAACGGGCCGGGCTCGGTCAGGAGGGGGCTGAGCTATAACATTGGGTGTCATTCACTTGCATATTTTGTTACTGTTATCATTATCTCTACTATTTTAATATTAGTATTATTTTAAGTTTTCTTTTATTTCTGTTATTAAACTGTTCTTATCTGACCCTACAAGCCTCCTTATCCTTGCCCCCCAATCCTCTCCCCTATGCCCTGGGGGTGGGGGGAAGTGGGTGAATGGCTGTGTTGGCTGCTAGCCAAGGGCTCGCCCAGTGAAACTGTCACAGTAACTGTCAAAAATCAGCTCCCTTTAACTTTTTTCCTAGAGATACTGCATCTATTCTTAATCCTAACATAGCACTGAGTTTAGAAACAGATGCAAAATTAGAAATAATCATCTCAAGACTAAGCTCTGGGGTAATGGGTTTTCTAGCACTGATCTATAACTAGAAACCTAACCTTTTTTCTTTCTAATTTACATCACATCATTTTTTAAGATCTTTAGGAAACAATGTATTTCTTTGCAAACAAAATATAATTTTATCCTTACCACAGGACAAAATAAAGTATTATAATTCTTTTTCTGTATTATTTTATTAACAGTCATTTTATGTTATCGGCAGTATCCAATTTAGATAAGTTTTTGCTAATAATTACTTTTTGTCTTAGCCTTATTTTGTTTCTGTTAGGCTCAGGTATATATGGAGAGTACATTGGCCAGCCCGACGCTCCAGTTCTTTCACACTCTTCAGGCCTAAGTGAGGCAGCTGGTACAAGTGCAAAGTTTGTTAACTCTGTCTGCTTTGAAACACAGGGGCTTCAGGCAGCACTTTACCATCAGCAATAACCTCTTTTTAACTGAAGTTGCAGGGCAGTTGTGTTCCAGTTCCCTTTACTGCTTTGCTGCTTGCTCCTGATTTAGGTGTTGGAAACTTAAATGTTGCTCTGACATGTAGTGTAGCTTTTCCTGAGCCATATGTTTTAGGCCTACCACATATATAGTACGTAGATTAGCACTCACATTTGAACTAGACTTCAGGTATTATCTCTTAAGATTTCTCAAATCCTTTTAATTGATTGCCTGCAGTTCACAGCTGCAGTGAGATTAAAAAGATGAGATTGATCAGCATTAACATTAGTTAATAACTCTTCTTTTCTTTTGACCTTTAGGTGTATCTGGCCAGACATAAATTTCAGGTAGATAATTTTGATTCTGACAGATGATTATTTTCACTTGCAGATCAGACAGCTTGCAAAAAAATCAGGACCTGGAATTTGAAAGGAACAAAGAAAGGTTTGAGTTCTTAAAGGTATCGAAATACTTAATCCTATTTGCGTGGACAAAAGTGCAATGAACAAAAGTTCTTCTCGTGCTCATGTGCGTTGAAAATTTTTTACTCCAACTCCTTCTGTTTCAGTGGGGCTCTCGGGCTTTTAAAAACATGAGGATTATTCCACCGGGCTCTGGGATCATCCACCAAGTGAACCTGGAGTACTTGGCAAGAGTGGTGATGGATCAGGATGGCTACTACTATCCAGACAGTGTGGTGGGCACTGACTCGCACACCACCATGATCGACGGCTTGGGGGTGCTCGGCTGGGGTATGTGCAGTAGGGCTATCGTGCATAGTCTGTTGACTGACAAAGTTGTGCTTCAGACTGGTGAGCTGACCCTGGCTGGCAGTTCAGCCTCCACCCAGTCACTCACTCCCTCCTCCTGCCAGCAGGATCAGGGAAGAGAACTGAAAGGGCAGATGAGCTACTGTAAAAAGTTATCTGTGTGCCAGTCAGACACAGTACACGGACTAACCCCAAATTCAAGGAACTTGATAAGGTGTCTCACAGTTATTTAAGACTTTGTAACTAAGTTCCCTGTTTTGATAACAGCCTCAGATTATTTCTGGTGCAAGTGGTATTGTTTGTTTGTTTGTTTGTTTGTTTGTTTCTTTTATAGATTTTCTCTCTGCATTTAAATCACAAGGAAGCAGGCAAGGAAAATATTAAGTAAGACTGCTGGAAGCATCTTAGTCATTTGGGAAGGCAAAGGCGTTGAAGCACCAATGAGCACCCATTTGTTCCTTAGCTACTTCTCTACTTTCAAAATGTTGCCTTATCAAAAAGTCCTGCAAATGCTCCATTAGATCGAAGATGCTGAAAGTTGAATCTGAGGGAGTTAAATATAGCCAGAGAGGCTGTTGTGAAAAACAGTGCTATAAAGTATGTTCTAGTACCAGTAGTCTGCAGAATACCTGTTGCAGAAATAAATACAAATAATTCATTTTTTGCTTGTAGTGGCAAACTGCAGTGTTGATTTATTGACTAAATAAGTAAGTGTGAAATGAAAATATTTGCAGTCATCCCACACATGGTAGCAAAAACTTCACCTGAGCTTTTTATCTTCCTGTGATATGGTGATAGGAGCCCTATTGAAATAGGTGTTGTACAAATACAGAAAGCATAGTGTTTTTAGAAAGCTTTTGCTAGTTGTGCACAAAGATGCTTGTCAAGTTCTGATTACCACGTGTGATAGAAATAGGACGTTGTGTTTTTTCTACCCCACCTACAATTGGTCAATTGAGACTTTCTATCAAGGGTGAAAGAATTCCT